AGGCTCCGAGCCATGGGAGACCGAGAGAGGAGCGGCTCCTACGCCAGGGGAGTGACGAAGGTTCTGGGTCTCTGCTGTCGGAGCTACAGTCTCTCCACGCAGCCGCACGTTCTCCCTGCACGCCCCTGGCCCATATACTGCCCGGGCCGAGGACGACTGCTGGCCAACGTGACAGAGCAGGTGCTGCTTTCTGGTCACCTCTGCCAGCTATCGCCCTCAGTGGGAAGCCCTGCTCGCTGGAACCTGCCCGTCTAAGCGCCCGCCTAGCCCTGGGCAGGGCACCCAGCCGCAGGGTCAGCACTTGAGAGCCATCTTACCAGGCCACATCGAAACGGAAGCCCAGGTCAAATATCGTGTAGCAGATACCTGAAAAGAAGAGCAAGGGGGAACCTTCAGTCAGCCCGAGCTCCAGCCTGGCCTAGCTGCTCCCACCCTGCCCAGCCCGGCTGCTGTGAGCCACCCGCACCAACCGAGCAGCCTGGCTGCCAGTGGACAGAAGGGCACCAGGAAGCCCCGTGCCAGGCAGCCCTCCAGACAGACAGGGAGCCCTGCCCTGGGGAGCTTAGGGTGGGACGGATTCCCCACGCCCAGGGCGCCCACCAGCAGCTGTCCCGGTGTTTCCCGCCAGATACGCTGAAAGCAGCCATGGTCCAGCCTGATGACCACCTCATTCGCACACATAGGGGGCGTCGCACCAACGCTGACTGGAGACAGATCCTGCGCGTGCTGCTACTGCGTCCATCACCGTGGTATCTGGCCCCTCCTCCACCCACAAAGCAGGGTCAGCGGGGAGAGACAACCACCCCCTTCCAGCTGGGCCACGGGCGCCAATCTGGCCCTGAAGGTACAGATGAGGTCGCCCGCCAGCCAGGGCAAGGCAGCCCTCGGGGCCCAGCGGGGTCTGCCCCGCTCCCCCAGCGCCCTGCCCCTCAGGGAGTGCGCGTGAGCACTTGGCATGGCTGGCTCATTCCTTCCGCAGTGCAAAGCCTGGGCTCCTTTACTGATCCTCACATGCTGCCCCGTCACACTGAGCCTCCGACCACACCCGTGAGTCAGCGCCAGCACGAGTCACGGGGCGGACAGTCTGCACCCGGCTGGGCACAGCAATCCGGGATGGGTCTGGGCTGCACGCTCCTGGGGCACTAGGTCTGAGAGCCCTGCAAGGGAATGGCTGCTGGCTTAGGAGCGCTGGCAGGATATGGAGCAGGGGCCGAGCAGCGACCAGGACTAGAACTCTGCCCTTCCTGGCACCCAGAGCCGTGCTCCAACCACTAGACCAGTGTGCCCAACCTAGTTACCACTGTGGGCCGCATATGCAGCTCTCTGTGTTATGTGGGCCCCATCCACACCATGTAGACACTACCTGTATGGCCCTGAGGGCGTCACATGGGCGCAGCTGAGAGCTGGTTGGGCCGCACGTGGCCCACGGGTTGAGAATCACTGCACTAGGCCATACTGCCCCCAAACACAGAAATGAGCCGGAGCAGGATGGAGGAGCATGTCCCAGCACCATGGAGGCTGCTGCAGCTTGAGATCGCGTGGGATCTGCCCATCACCTCACCTTCCAACCCATGGCTTGTTCTCTTCCATGACTCCTGAAAAACACCTCTCTCCTTGCTCCAGCAGCGCAGGGGGCCCAGCGCTGTGGGGCCTGGGGAGGGAGCTGCAGGGGACTGCTGGGGCAGCAGGCCACACTCTGGTGGGCGAGAGACTCACCCCCACTAGCAGCCCATTACGGTGATGCAGAGAGCTGCAAGGAGCCCAGCTCAGGCAGGCGGGCTAGGAAAGGCCCCCACACCCTGCTCAGCACATCCCTGGGCACCCCCAGCAGTGCCCCAGTGCCCATCGTAAAGGGGAAGGGGGGGGGTCTAACTGAAACTGGCTCCCCGCTAGCCTGGGGCCATTTCTCCCATTTCAGCGGCTGGCGGAGGGGACTCAGCCCCCTCCTTCCCAGGACAGTCTTGCTTGTAAAGGTATTTCTGGTGCCCCAGCACTTGGCCTCTTCCCCCCAGAATTAATCTCCTGATTTCCAGACTACGGCGCTCCCTCGCACTCACAGCAGCTGCTAGGCACAAGCCCTGCTAGAGACACTAGGCCTAGAAACCCCTCCCCATGGAAACCACACAGCGCGGGGCTTGCAATCAGCTGTCATACAATCACTAGAACCCACGTGGCGCGGGCATTGCACCGAAGCTCACCAACATGGCCACACCACCGAGAGCGGGTGACTAAATCCTTTACACGGTCTCTTTAAACAAACTCTCACTGTTGTGAGGATGATTGGTTGGTTTCTGAGGTTTACATGGCAGGGACTCGTAAAACGTCCTAAATCAATAGCTTAACGCCCCCGACCCCCAAACCAGGACTTGAAAGCGTCCCACTCCCCAGCCAGCCAGAGGGGATACGAGAGAGACCAGCCATGGCTCAGATTCAGGGCCAGTTGCTGCTCAGAGCCTGCCCAAGCAATGGCAGCAAGAAATTAACAAGCCTTGAGACAGTTTCCTGACTGCCCCCAGGTCTCCCCATAGCAGCAGGGAACTGCCCAGTGCCACGCCAATCTCCCTCTGCGCCCACGGAGCAGTGGCAGGCACTGGTGATGCCGCATCGGGGCCAGGAGCTTGATACAACAGCGGAAGCTGTTCTATGGCTGGCCAGGGAGGGGGACGCCTCACCCCACAGGTACAAACGCTGCGTTTCGAAGCCATGAGTACTGCGCACTCTGCCAGGGAGTCCCAACGCTCCCCAGTCGGGACCAGCTTGACCAGTGCCCAGAGCAGGAGAGGCCCTGAAACACAGCGTGCTGCGCACAGGCTAAAGCGGTAACCAATTTCTGCCTGCGGGAGGAAAAGGCCAACAACTCATCTGTCAGGTCCCAGCCGAGAACCCAGGCCTCAAACAAGCCCAGTGAAGGGCCAGCAGCAGGGCCCAGCTCCCTCCTTTACAGAGTTTGAAATTCACATGCACTTAACCCCCCCTCCAGTGCGGGAACATCTGACTCAGAACGGTTTCCAGCCCTTCCTTGGGCACTGGTTGTGAGAAGTCTCCCCTCACTAACAGCACATCTCCTCCGCGCTTCCCAAGGGGCACTAGCAGCGCAAGCTGGAAAATCGAGCGGCAGAGTGGAGAAGACATGCATTATTTATGCAGCCTGTATGGTTCTGGGGCTGTATCCCAGGCACAGAGGAGGCCGCGCCCCTGCTCCAAGGAGCAGATAACCGAAGGCAGCCGTTCCAGTCCTGGCATCACACCAGATACGTGGGGTGGGTAACAGAGCGAAGGCTGGATGGCTGCATGGTGTAGGCAGCATGTCAATCACACCTTCAGCAAAGCAGGGTTAGAAGGGAACACGGAGGAAGAGAGGGTGGCGAGTCCCCTCCAAAACATCAGATACCTTCCCTCGTACGCCAAGGCCAGAATCCATGGCCTCGCCGGCCCCCGCAGAATTCACAGGCTCAAGTCACTGAGCTCCTTGGGGCAGGGAGCTGGCGTCCTGGCAGTCTCTAAAGCACCGAGCGCTCAGTGCACTGAGCAGACCTTCGCGGAGAGTCACCTGGCAGCTAACTCAGCCACCTCACGTGGGTCAGAACACGCAGGGGGGCCTGCATGGAGGAAGACACCCAGGCCCCCCCCCCAGATGCCTTAGGGGGGAACCACAAGCCCTGAGGGAAGGTGGCTGGCTGCCCTGGCCCCTCACATCTGTGGCCAGCCTCTAGCCGGAGGGACTCGCCCAGAGTTAACCCACCAGGCTGGCTGGGACGCTTGCTCTGGGCAGTGTCAATGCTCCAGCTGAGGGGACAGGCCTGGCTGCATGCAGGGGAGTCAGGCCCGGCCCGGCCGTTCGACCATTGCCGGACAGCCAGTCCCCCAGGGACCCCCAGCTCTAGTCCCTGAATCACTGGAGTTAGCAGGGAGCTGGCAGCTCACCGGACAGTGCTCAAATTGCATTCAAAGCAGCTCAGAGCCCACTACACCCTGCCTGCTCCCAGCCTCTGGCCAGCAAGGGCTGGGAAGGTGGGCAAGGGAGGTGTCTAGCCCAGCCCTGCCCCAGACCAGCCTGCTGGGTCTCGCTTCTGTCTGCGATGGCCAGGACCCACCACCCCGGCCCTGCCCACTCCTGCCCCCACTGGCTGGTAAGAACTCTGTCCCCAGCCTGTGATCTGAGACAAAGTGCAGGCCTCTCCAGGGACTATCCTGGGCCCATGGGAGACACCCCCCACAATAGCCACAGGGCCCCAGTGGCTCATGTTCTCCCCACGCTAGGAGCTGCAGGACTGGGGTCACCACGCACCGGTCAGTTACAGCCAGCCTGACTACAATATGCCAAGCGGGGGCCCCTCGCAACCTGGGGGAGGGAGAATCAAAACCCCAGGCTCTGGCTGGAGTGGCCACGGGGTGAGGAACACAAGAGAGGAAGCAAAACTGTTCCCAGCAGGCCCCGTCATGAAAGGAGGAAGGAACGAGTCACCCTGGCCTATTGAGCAAGCTGCACAGAACACAAGGAACGGCCTGCAAAGGGGCAGCGCAGCGCATGGGCCCCTTTCCCTTCTCCCCACCCCCGCGTGTGCCCAGAGGCCTGAGTGTCTCCGCCAGGGCAGACGCGTCTGCACTGGGGCTGTTTACTGTTTTGGGTTCTGCAGTTCCTGCTCCACAGACCAGGCCCAGCCACCAGGCCCAGCCAGTCTCAGCTGCCACTGACTAGCACAAGGCCAAACCCAAAGCAGGTTCCTACAGCACCTTCTCCCTGGCTCCGAACATATTGGGCCCTGGGTTTTATTGACAAAACATGCCGGGTGACAGACACTGTGTTCCATTGTGTGCCGGCTCCCAGACTACACAGCACAGGTGCGAGGGTTAGGGTTACTGCAGGCTGCGAGCCCTGGCGCATTCCCAGTGGGTTCTCTGGCACTTCGCTGACCAGCCAAGAATGCAGAAACAAAGGCGCAGATCGGTTCCGGCCTCCTCTCTACTGGAGCTGGGATTGCACAGGATGTGGGCAGTCAATGCCCGGCCTCAACTAGAAACCATTCCCCGATGGCTCAGCAAGCCCACGTCACGATGTTGCACCCAGCACATCTCCAAGAGCCGCCTGATTCATGGATCGCATTGAGCCGACTCTCGATGGGTTCACTTCGGCAGGGGGTGGATTAGAGCAGGGCAGGCCCACGGGACCTCTGGGGAGATCCTGACTGAGCCAGCAGCACTGTCACCTTGTTATTCAGTTGCCCCTTCATCTGAGCACCGAGTCTGGAGTCATCTCTCAGAGAGAAGCCAGGCTGTTCGTGCCCACCTCACTGGGCTGCGAGAGCAGGCGCTAACCTGCAACTCCATCAAAGTACAGGCCTGACTAGTTCTCAGTGCTCAGCGACGCTCTGACCCTCAAAACCACGGTCACCACGAGGATACCAGACAGTCTGAGCCCACTGCCGGAGAGCTGCCCTTCCACGGGGCATCTCCATTGCGCTGCAGAAGTGCTACGCCAGCGGCTTCAAGCCAAAGCTCGGAGAAACTCGTGCACCTACTCAAAACAACATCGTTCGGACAACTACTAAGGACAGCCAGCTTCTCAGCCTGGAAGAGGCTGGGTTACTCCATCTGGAAAGCCACAGGGCCTGTTTTCCTGCAGTCCTGCTGCTGCCCCTCCTCCCCCTTTGAGCCAAATGACAACTTGTCTCGCACTTGACAGACCCAGACTAGCCCCCACAACACCACCCGTCACCCCTGTTTACCAATAGGGAAGAGGTGAAGCAGGGCACCGGGTGGGTCAGAGAGCCAGGAACAGACCCCAGGAGGCCTGGCTCCCAGTTCTGTGCTCTGACTGGGAGACCTGTCCCCTTTAACACGAGGGCTTGAAGTTAAATGCCCCCAAAAGTGACTACCTAGATTCAGCTGAAGACACTCCCGGGGATGCTCACCAAGAACTACATTAGTGTAAGAGTCCTTCAGGCTCAGCAGGGGAGAGAGACTCCTATCCCAGGGAAGTCTTAGCAGGAGAATCCTTGCAGTGAAAGGAGCCTGGGCCCTCGCTGGCCCACAGGACCTGTCCAGCCTCCCCCCAGCTCGTCTGCAGGACCTGTCCAGCAGACAGCAGTGACCCAAACCTGCCACAGCCTCCCACTGATGCCTCTCAACCCTGTTCTGAAGAACCCCACTGCAGATCCTTCCAAAGCCCCCATCACTGCCATGCTCAGGTGCTGTGGGCACAAGGGGGCCTCAGGCTCAGAGCTCATTCATTCCTGGCCTTTGCAGGGGCTGCCAAAGGGGACAGATGGGCCTCTGGACTCACTAAGAACTGGACGGCTCTACCCCACCGCGGCAGACACGTGCAAGTGAATGTCCAGCTAAGGAACGCAGCCCAGGGGCCGAGCCCACTGGTACAAACTGCAGCTCAGCCCACGCACCGCAGCCAAAGCCAAACCGGACAGGAGGAACGCTCCGAGCCCACCAGGCAGCCGGCCCAAACGTAGCTGCCTGTGCTACAAGAGGAGATTGGGAGCACCCCGCAGCAGGAGAGGCAGCGCCCCCCGGCCCATAGCCACAATCCGGGGGTCGCCACCAGCCTGGGCTCAGCGTAATGGGCGACAGGAACAAGAAGCCCTACGCTCCTGCCTGGAGCCAGCCCTGTGCAACTCTCCTGCCCCAGCAGGTGCCAAGCGAAGGCAGGAGGGCGCTGCCCTGGGGCAGGGGGTGTGAGGCGGATCCCTGCCCAGACAGAAGACTTCACGCGCCAGGACTCCTGCCTCCGCCCCCACAGCCCCTACCCTTCCCCACAACTCTCACCCCCTCCCCCAACTGAGCCCCTCTCCCATCCCCCTCCATGTCCACC